TTGTTTCTTTTCCTTTATTTTTGGTGCTATTTCTACTTTTCCCCTTTGCTACGCAAACAAACTGTCTTAGGAACGATCATGAAGTTAAGAATTGTGATAGCAAACGTCGGTGTTCAAAGTGTTACAAGTCCCACCATACGTAGTTGCATCGGGATGATATTACATCGAGTAATTCAACTACAACTTCCAGCGTTACTAGCAATGCCCCCCAAAATTCGAGTGCTACGCCTTCGACTGACCCTCCCCCCAATCGTCAAATTGCGCGCCATGCACATCCGCCGGTTGCCAGCCGCGAAAAGTGAACAAGGCTGTACTCTTAGGTACCACAATGGTGAATATTGTTCATCTAGGCGTTTCGTTTCCTGCCAGGGTGTTAATAGATCCTGTTTCCGAGTCCTATTTCATTTCAGAGAGATGCCAAACTCGTTTGAAGCTCCTTGCGCGTGCTACGAATGCTGTAATTTCAGGAGTTAGTTGTTCACTCTTGGCCCCTGCTAATAAAGCTTGTCGTATAAAAATTAGCAGTCATTTCGACTCGAATTGCAAACCAACCTTTAATTTTGCGTGCCATTCGTGGAAATCTTCCATCTTTTGTGGTTAATTCCGACTTAAGGTAACAAATTCCCGAACTTCGCTTGGCAGATGTTAACATTTTTTAATCTCGTCCCGTCGATCTGCTGTTAGGTGCTGACCTTTATTTGGATGGTTGTTGTTGTCTCATTTTGTCTGGAGTATTGCTTGCTCAAAATACTGTATTTGGTTGGCTTGCTACGGGTGCTATCCCAGCAGCAGCAGTTCGAATATTTGCCACTACTATTGAGTAGTACTAACGTACAAAACGAAAGTCGCCCCGTTGAAATCAATTTGGCTTCCACGCTGGGATCTTTGTGGAGCAGTTTTAGCATCAGATCTACTGAAAACTATTGTGCGGGAAATAGAGCTGGAATTTAATCAAATTTATTGTTGGACAGATTCGAATATAGTTCTTGCCTGGTTGAAGAGAGCCCCCTCTACTTGGACGACCTTTGTAGGCAATAGGATGTGTCGAATCCATGAAAATCTTGGCAATTACAATTGGTACCCTATCAAGTCAGAAGATAACCCGCGGATCCAGGAAGTCGAGGCTTGTCTCCGATAGAATTGTCCGCCTCCCCCATGTGGTGGAACGGCCCTAGTTGGCTAGGTAAAACTAAATCGGAATGGTATATTCGTGATCTGGCTCCGATTAGTACTGAAATGGAAATGAGGAAGTGTCCGTTCGATTTTTTTCGGTCGACATTTAAAGAGATTTTGGAAGATATTTCTTGTTTGCGTAGAGCTCTTCATTACATTGTAAACGCGTATATATGTTTGAATTTTATTTCTTTCTTTATCTTTTAATAAGTATGACAGCTTACTGAAAATTAACTCATATGGTGTGTAGTTTGTGTCAACATGTGGGTAATCATTGTACGCAAATGAAAAATATGGTATCCAAGCAACCCATTCATCGAACTTGGCAAAGTAGAGTTGGCACACATTATGTACTCTATGACTTCGTTCCAAGCAATCCAACGTCTCGTGATGGTATGTAGTACTAAATATTAGCTAGACTTGCAACAAGGGCGTAACTGATTCAACAACTCAGTCCCATTATCTGATTTAAATATTTTCCATAGGACATGCTACCAGAATTTTTGTGAGTTCAGATTGTATTTTTAATGCACATCTGAAAATATTTGATACTTTTCTTTAGTGTGTCTGTTTTGTTTATTTATTTTGCACTTTGGACAGTACACAGCATATTTCCTTACCATTTTGGACACGTTCCTCCTAATATATCGATTTTTCAGTTAGTTTACCTGATGCCTACATGACGTCAGTGTGTTGAATTGTGAAATTCTGATGTTAGGTTAAATTGCTGACGATATCGAATTCAAATATCCTTTGGCCTCTGATATTTTGCGAAATTCAGTGTACGTAGATGATGCGTTTGTTGGCTGTCATAATAAATCAGTTGGAATAGAGGCACGAAATCAGCTTTTTAGACAGACATTGGGCATTCGTTGGATGCCGTATCCGATTCCTTTTTCTTTTCCGTTGTAAATTTCCCTGATACAAGTAGCGATACCAAACGGAATATTCTATCACAAATTTCAGTGTATGTAGATGTTGCGCTTGTTGGCTGTCATAATATATCCGTTTCAATAGAGGCAAGGTATCAGCTTACTAGCGCATTAAATACAGCTGGTTTCACGATGAGGAAGTGGACTTCAAAGTCAAGAGAAATTCTTGCTGATATTCCTTCCGAACAACTTGTCAATGATGATTTCCTGGAATTCGAGTGCAAAAGCACTGCTAAGATATTGGGCACTCGCTGGTATGCTTTATCCGATTCCTTTTTCTACTCCATTGTAAATTTCCCTGAAACAAGTAGCTATACCAAACGGAATATTTTGTAACAGATTTTAAATTGTTCGATCCAGCAGGCTGGCTGGCCCAATACATTGCTACTGCCAGGAGTATCATGCAAAAAACCTGGGTGGAAGGTACTGCATGAGAGGAGATTTCTCAGGAATCCCTATTACTGTCGAATTCGTTCTTAGCATTGTATCCAGAAATAAATTATATTCAAATGCCCAGATGACTTCATTATTCTTCTGGTTGTGAGATCCAATTTCACAGTTTTAGTGATGTATCTGAAAAGGCGTATGGTGCTGCTTTCTATATACGCGAACGAATCCATAACTGTGTGTCTACCCACTTATTTTGCTGCAGGACCAAAATTGCTCCTTTGAAAACAATATCCACACTTGAGTTAGAACAATAATTATATTATCAATTCATGTTGGAATCGATAAAGGTTTGGATACAGCTCCCATCCATACTTGGTCGATTTTATGCATTTGCACTCTATGCATTTCAAATCTCAAGTCATATCATATCTCATTTAAAATGTGTAATTACATATATTTGATGCACCAAACGCGCTATGTATTTTCAATTTCAATGAATTTTGAAATGTGTAATTGAATTTGGTACAAAATAATTTTGTGAATTTATATATATATATATATTTGCATATACCTCTAATGCAAAAACGCGCTATGTATTTTCAATTTCAATGAATTTTGAAATGTGTAATTGAATTTGGTACAAAAATATTTTGTGAATTTATATTTATATATTTGAATATACCTCTAATATATATTTTCGGTATCATGTATTTTATGCAACAAACACGCTATGTGTCTCCAATTTCAATGAAATTTTGAATGTGTAACGGAATTCGGTGCCAAATTATTTGTTAAATTACATTGATATCGTTTGGGCTTTGAGATTTGATATCGATCACACATTTATTTTTGATCGCTTTAGAACTTGAATTGAACTTGGAGGGTTTCTGGTGTTTTTATTTGCATATGCTTAGTCGAAATAAATACTACCTTCCAGAGAACGGCCTTGAAAGTCATAACCCACACCAAATTTAACTGATGAGCCGCTTAACCAACGGCAAAACGCGTTGCATAGTGGTGAGTGTGTGATAGTGTCTATCTGAGTTTCCTATTCTCTGCAAATTTCAGATATTTAAGCTCGTCTCGAAAGATAAATAAACACATAAATCATGAATATATGATACTTGCATTAACAATTCAACAGTAAAAAAATAACTTTTTTAAGATAGATTAGGACAGACAAACGTCTGTCCTTTATGTATTTTGTGAGTTTATCTAAATTCTTCCATTTTCCACAAATTATGCCATGCCATTGGAAAAATTTATACGTCCCTCTGACAGCTTAGTTGAATTCGAGGCTGGCCTGAACGACAAGCAGTCCCATCCCTTCTCCCAGTGTATTATAAAATCCCACAAGCAAGAAATGATGGGCATTTGGGTCGTTTTCTGCTAGCATACAAGCATATCTCATTTATATGGAGCTTGGAGTCGACGAACAAGGCGAATCAAAGGCGGACGATAGCCAATCTTCTTCCGAAATAGAACAATAAAATCCAAATACCGCAGTACGTGGGTGATATGTCCCAGTTCTCATCTCCGTCTTCTTCCATCACGATTCCAGCCCAACAATATGGTTTCCAACTTCCACTATGCGTAATTCCTGTTTTTAGTGGTGATTATCCTTCTTGGTCGACTTTTAGGGACATGTTCACCACGGTTTGTATCAAAACCCCAGTCCTAGCTCTGTGGAGAAATTATTTCATTTGGACATTGAGAACCCAATGAAATTTCCAAAAAAAATCCTTTAATAAAAACTTCGGAGTGGCCTGCAAGAATTTATGCTCCATTATGAGAATAAGAAGGTGCTCATTAACATACAGCTAAAATAAAGTTATTCGGTCTTCCTGTCATTCAAACCGAATCCAACACATTCATAAAGAATCTTCAATGTGATATCAAGTCATGCATATTTATTCTAAAGCTATATGATATTGACATATAGAGGTGCACCCAAGTTTCATATCCCATTCGCACACTGTGTGAGCAGACTTTAACGGACAAAGCTAATATACCAAAATGGTCAGAACTCCATTCGTTTTTTGACGAATCGTCAAAGAATATTCGAGTCTGTAACCGAGTTGCGACGTAAATCGTCATCCGGGACAAAGCCACACAAAATCCTTCCTCTTCAAAACATAGTTCAAAAACTATTAAATCATTTCGAACAATGTAGTTTAGTGCAAATGCAAGCTATGTCCGAAGGAATCCCACATCATACGAAAGTGTCCAAAATACTTATAGATGTATATTAATGAAAGGTTAAAAGAGATTAGAAAGTCATTTTTTTGTCTAAGCAGAACGACCTTGTTGTCTTGATCCTCAGATGGAGTTTTTTTTTACTAAGTATTTAATGAAGATATAACTAAAATGTATAGACTAATTCTTGACTAATACTTCCTTTCAGCGGTTCCTTCATCTTAGAAATCCCCAAGAATATATCGAGGATTTGAACTCAAAACGGTTGTTTGCGTAGCAAAGGGGAAAAGTGGAAATAGCACCAAAAAATAAAGGAAAAGAAACAAACAATTTTTAGTATTTTGTCCAATAGAAATATTGGATAGTTTTATTTAATTGAATATTGTTGTAGAACAATATTCTTACCTTTTTTAAAATGTTGCTGAGAAAGCTCGTTGTTGTTAATAGGACGTAATCCAAAAAACAAGTAAGTGTCAAACAACAACGAGCAAGCGAAGATGTCGCAAGTGGCGTTTTTAAAAAATGTCACTCGTTATAATTTGACAGTACGACTGTATGATGAATATCACACAGTCGTACACGAAAGTCCGTTACAAATTTGAAAACGGAGTAGACATTTAAATGAATATATTCTAGTGTAAACATTGCCGCCAGCCTTGCAACATCTTGCTATGTTGCAATTTAAATTAAGTACATAAATTATAAATTCATTTTACATTTTTTCTTATTTAAAATTCAGATTTCAATTTTATTATTCATTTTTTCCTTGTGTTGGTAATATTGCGCTCGCAGAGCAAGCGGCACATTGCCGCGCAATAAAAATGATCGATTGGCACGGGCGAGCTCTTCTGGCGAAAGTGTCCCAGCAAGAAATCACATTGGGCATGGACCCGACAAAACCCATCCAAAGATGGTAAGTTGGGCCCATGGGAATCCAGGGCTCGAGTATACCTGTGTCTTCATCACTTTAGGGTACACTTCGGCACCCAACACCACGGCGACTCGGGACGCTTTAAAGAATTGCGGATCCGCTAGCATCATACCTTGGTAGTGCTCCTTTATAGATTCCGAGGCAGATTGACTTGGGGACAAACGACGGGTTAAATTTGTAACCCGAGCGGATACCGACAATCGTTGGGCGGAGTCGAAGGTCGAGACCAGTGTGAACTGGGCAAACCGGTCGGACCCGACTGGGATGGAGTGCAGTCGCAATGACTTGACCAGCGTATTGCAGATTTGACTACTATCTGCACATGGGTCCAGCATTGCTCGGACGGGAATTATTTTTGTGGGGGAGACCAATTGAGCGACGATAGTTGGCCCTATTGTGATAATAGGTTGGATTGCCATGCTATGTAACGTAGTTACATGCGACGAGAAAGCGGACGGAGTACTTTGTACGGACGGACGTTTGTTGCTACGTGAAGACGTAGACGGACCATTATTATTAATATTATTTTTATTAATATTATTATTGTTATTTTTATTATTTGCATTTTTATTTTCATTATTATTATTATCTTTATTATAATTGTTTTTATTATTTTGTTGGGAAAATTGGGCAGAAGGATGGAGCAGGTTGTGATGCTTGCCCTTGCATTGCTTGCAGCCTGGATCTTTGCGGCAATCACGAAGTAAGTGGTCCGAGTCCAAACAATTGGAACAGCACAAGTGCTTGACCACGGTTCGGATCTTCTTATCCAAGCTGAGCCTCTTAAAACGCCCGCATTGCCGAAGATGGTGTTTTTGGTGACACCAACTACAGCTGCGCTTACTGGAACCCGTTGAGCCCGCAGTTGATTTCGGCGTCGCCACTGGATCTTTGCCGTCAGAGCGTCTATCTGAACCACCTAATGGTATTCCTCGTCGAGGAGTGGTGGGCGCAGACGACATCCCGGCCGTAGGCTGCATTGCTGCCTCAGGCTGAATTACAGCAGCACAAAGTGCGAGTGCAGGCTCACTGAGAGTAGGGGCAGCTTCAACTATGGTACCAGTGCAATCGGGAGCAAGTTCTATATCCGTGAGGGGAACCAAAACCATATCATCGACATCTCTTTCCTCATCTGACATGGGGACATCTTCCTCATAGTCAGGAAGAGTAGCGACCATCTTGTTTTGATTTTCCATGCTACGAGAAAAAAAATAAAGATGGCGAGGAAACAAACATCTAATTGGTCAAAGCGACCAGCTTAACCACCGGACGCCTCACAATGCCATTTTTAGTTTTTACGTCGGCGACACGTACGCGACCGTCTGTACCGGGAAAAACATTGATGACCCGACCTAATTTCCAGGATGTTGGAGATAATTGTTCTTGTCGAATTACTACTAAATCGTCCGTTTGTATATCGCGCTGAGGAAATTTCCATTTATAGCGTTTATGGAGACTTTTTAAATACTCTTCCTTCCACCGTAGGCAGAACTGTTGAGTAAGCGCCTTAAGTTTTCTATACCGATTGACGATATGCAAGGGAGATTCTTGTATTAGTGGTTCCGGAGGGGATAAAATAGGAGATCCTACCAAAAAATGACCTGGAGTTAAAGCCAAATAACTATCCAGACTATCGCTCATCGGACAAAGCGGTCGAGAATTTAAACAAGCTTCTATACGCGAGAGAACCGTAGAGAACTCTTCAAAAGTATATTTAATGTTTATAGCGTGTTTTCGAAAATGTTTTTTAAAACTATTCACCGCAGCTTCCCAGAGGCCGCCCATATGTGGGGCACCAGCCGGGATGAACTTCCACGAAAGCTCTTGATACTGGTATGCGGAACATACCCGATCGCGACTTTCATGAACAAGTGATTTGAATTCACGCTCAAATTCTCGAGAAGCACCAACGAAATTGGTGCCATTGTCAGAAAAGACAGTCTTAGGACATCCGCGTCGCGAAATGAACCTGTGAAATGCTGCTAGAAATGTTGTCGTCGACAAATCAGAGGCAGCTTCTAAATGTATTGCTTTCGTAGAAAAGCAAACAAAAACACAAACATAACCTTTCGTAATTTTACAGCAGCGACCAGTAAAGGATTTAAGGTCAAAAGGACCAGCAAAATCGACACCTGTAGTGGCAAATGGTCGCGTTATAGTTGTTCGTTCCGGGGGAAGAGCAGCCATAATCTGAGTACAAGCTTTTTTCTTTTCTAAAATGCAAGGTTTACAATTACTAATTACTTTGCGAATGAGTGAGGTTAATCTGGGAATCCAGTATTCACTGCGAATAAGACGCAACATTAATTGATTTCCACCGTGAATGGAAATTAAATGCATTTTCTCAACAAGAAGACGAGCGAATTTACAATGATAGGGAAGCAAAATAGGATGCCGTTCTGAGTATGAGAGAGTAGGTGATCGAACTAAACGTCCATTTAGCCTCATAACACCTGCATCATCCAGGAACGGATTCAAGGACAAAATCGAACTTTTTGAATTTAAGGACCTATTGTTAGATAAAGAAATATATTCTTCGGCATAATACGCTTTTTGAGCCAAAACAATAAGCCTTAATTTAATATTTTTCAGTTCGGAGCTCGAAGGAGCTTGTCCTTGAACAATATTTTGACCAGTAGAAGAAGGATGTATTTTGTAAAAGAATCTAAAAACGAATGAGACGACTCGTAAAGCCTTATCTAACGATGAAAAATTGTCTAAAACATCAACGAAATTTTCGAAGTAGGAAAAATGACTTTTAACCGCACGAATTTCTACATCCGTATCAAGAGCGGACAAGTCACGTAACCTCCATTCAGAACTGTTTAAACGGAGCCAATGTGGTCCGTACCACCAAATTTGTGAAGAAGCCAATTCAGCGGGCGTAAGTCCGCGACTTCCCAAATCAGCAGGATTATCTTCTGACGATACATGATGCCAAACATTTTGACCAACGTTGTCCTGTATCTTGGAGACCCTATTCGCAACAAAGGTTGACCAAGTTGACGGAATTTTCTTTAACCAAGATAGAACGATCGTAGAATCGGTCCAAAAGTAAGTTTTTGAAAATCTAATATCAATCTCAGCGATAATGGCTTTGAAGAGTTCGGAGGCCAAGACCGCACCACACAATTCTAGACGTGGAAGAGAAATCGACTTGATAGGAGCTACTTTAGTTTTACAGGACAACAAATGTGTAGAAATGTCACCATTGGAAGCAATATTACGAATGTATACCACCCCCGCATATGCCTTCTCTGAGGCATCAGAAAAAATATGAAGTTCGGCAGAGCAATCTGGAACATAATTGACCCATCGTGGAATTTGAATATAATTGACGTCCTGATACGTCTCAACGAATTTCTGCCAAGCACCCATTGTCGTAGACAGAAGAGAATCATCCCAATCGATGTGATCTAACCAAATGCGTTGCATTATAATTTTGGCTACAATTAGAACAGGTCCTAGCCACCCAATAGGATCAAACAATTTGGCAATAGTAGAAAGCACTTCTCGTTTAGTATATGTGGATTTTTTAGCAAGTGGTTTTACATTGAAATAAAATACATCTAGTTGAGCATTCCAACGAATGCCGAGAGGCTTAGAACTGCTGGCTTCAACAAAATCTAAAAGTTTAGTGTCTATTAGGTGTTCAGCTGGAAGACCTTCTAGTATAGAACGGTCATTAGAAGTCCATTTCCGCAACTCAAATTTAGCTGAAGATAGGACACGTATTAATTGGTCTCTAGAAAGATGCGCTGTTTCTAAGTTGTGATACCCTGTCAGTACGTCGTCGACGTACATGCATTTCCGCAGGATATGCGCTGCAAGAGGAAATTCATCTTCGGTGTCATCTGCTAACTGCAACAAAGTACGAATAGCTAGATATGGAGCACAATTTACTCCAAAGGTCACCGTTTTCAACTCAAAATCTTGAATAGGCTGGTCGGGAGAATCCCGGAAAAGAATACGCTGAAGAGGCGTTTGAGCTGAATCTACTAAAATTTGGCGATACATTTGAGTAATGTCGCAATTAAATACATATTTGAATACTCTCCATCTCAGTATGAGTAGAACTAGATCTATTTGAAGAGTCGGACCGACATAGAGCACATCATTCAAGCTTTTACCATTTGAAGTTTTATTAGAGGCATTAAAAACCACCCGTAATTTGGTAGTTTGTTTCTCTGGATTAATTACTGCATGGTGAGGCAAATAGCAAACCGTAGAGTTTGCGGAAGGGATTGAAACTGATCTCATGTGATCTAAATCTATATATTCCCTAACCACCCCATCATATATTTGTTTAATATTTGGTTTTTTAAGCAGAGAAGCCTCATTTCGAATGAATTGTCGTAGACAATTGGCTCTAGAATGGCCAAGATAAGGTTGACCAAATAATTCTGGTTTTATGGGAAGAGTGACAATATATCTGCCATTAGAATCCCTTCTAGTAGTGTTTTTATAATTTTCCTCACAGTATTTGTCGGCAGGAGACAAGATTGAGCGCTTTGGAACTTCTTCCAGTTCCCAAAATCGAAGAAGTGTCTTGTTAAGAGCATCTTCTTCAGAATATGCTATATTAGTAGAAAACACTCTGATGTTGCTAGGAGAAATGGGACCAGTAATGATCCAGCCGAACACAGTATTTTGCGCAATTAAAGAACCCAAAATATTAGATTGCATTCCCTGTAAGAGAATTTTAGGATAAATATCAGCACCTAATAACATATCAACTGGTCTGCAGTCGAATAATTGAGTGTCAGCCAAACGTAGATTTGGCAACCTGGAAGAAAATTCAGTACTAACCACAAAGGATGGAAGATTTCCAGAGATGGTAGGAACTACCAACGCTGTAATTTTCATAAGTACTGAACTATCTATGGATGAAGAAATACCAAAAGAACACAGTTTCCTCGACAATGTTGAAACAGTTTGATTAACACCTGAAACAGTTGCTTGAGTGGAAGTTGTAGAAATACCCAAACGCTGTTGTGATCTAGCAGAAATAAAGGATGCTTCAGAAGCAGGATCAATTAAGGCACGAGCTGGATACGTCATACCCTGGTGAACAATATTCACCATAGCTGTGCCCAAGAGAACCGTCCTATTTTGTGACGTATGAAACACCTGTCTATTTACGGAACTAGATTGTTGGCCAGAAGACGTAGATGGAAGATTCGGGTTAAAATTGGCAGTTTCTGGTAGACGAGGAGCAGGAGCAGAACCGGACGGGCCGTGAGAGGATGGTGGTACATTATTTGCAGATCTGGAAACTTGAAAAGCTTCCCGGTGTAGCAAAGTGTGATGTCTTCGATTACACTTAGCACAACTATGAGTGCTGCTACAATTTTTTACATCATGACCCCTGGAGAGGCAATTAATGCAACAATGATGACGTTTAACTATAGATAAACGATCTGAAAGAGAACGATTTCTGAACTCGGGACATGATCTTAAATGATGAGACTGCGATGGACATAACACACAAGTTTTTTCAGGAGACGAACGATTTGAATTGGCAGAATTAGTAGAACGAGAACTGGCAGCATTTGTAAAATGTGCCCGAACCTTTTTATTATCAACCTTCTTGGAATCAGCTATACCTTTGATATCTCTCAGGCAAGTTAATGTCTGAACTCTTTCCGTAAGAAAATTGTTCAGATCATTCCAAGATGATAGCGCTGACTTATTCTTGACGCTTTGTTCCCAGACACAAAAATACCAAAATTGGATCCCAACCGTCGGTTGGCACGTCATAAATAACCATAGCGGAGACACAACTATTAATTCCACGCTGCAAATTTTTCAAACCTGAACTTGACTCATTTTCAAGAACTGGAAGATCGAATAGAACTTTTAGTTGATTATTTACCAAAATACGCACATTATCATATGCTTCTTTCAAAGCTTTCCAGGCTAAATTGAAACTTTTATGCATCAATGGGAACTTAGAGACTATATCTCGAGCTTCGCCACTCGTTTTCTTAAGAAGGTGGCACAATTTTTCAATTTCGCTCAAGCGAGAATTGTTAATATAGACAGCTGAGAAGAAATCCCTAAAGGTGGGCCACGAAAGAAAGTCACCACTGAACACATCGATGTCACACGGAGGCAAATTAAGGCTATGAGTCAAGCTATCATTAAGTGAAATGCCATCCATGTCCCTATGACTAGAGGATTTTTGTGAAGCTTCAGAGATCGAATAGACATCATCTGCTAGAGGAGAATCTACACGGGGTGTAGATGGTGGCTGATTGGCATTAGAATGAGGAACAGACGTTTTAGACTTATTTTTAATTTCATCTACCTTTCTATTGATGGCAGACAACACTTGCAGAAAAGCTTTATAAGCGACATCATACTTACTGTCAGCTGAAGTGATGTCCTCTGCACATGCGTCTTCCGATGTTTGCAAATAGTTTAAACATTTATCAAATAACTGTTTCACCTTACTCCAAAGTTCTTTTGCTTCACTTCCTTGAATCTCAAGTGAATAGATATCAAGGTCTTCATCCCGTAGGTCAGAAAAGTTTGCAGAGAACTTGACTAGAGCGTCAGTTGCTCGGATGAAAAAGTCAAGAGGAGTAAGCGACATTTTAAAAAATTATTAAAAATCAAGAAAGCAAACAAAAATGAAGAAATTCTAAAAACTTTTAGCAAAAATGGATATAAATTTGTTTACAATTGAAAGGAAAAGCACTAATATGTGCAAATATGACGACAATCTTTTCCAAAATCTCTGATTTATTATAAATTCAACAATAAGAAGAACGTAATTCTTCGGAACTTGCCAAAAAAATGCAGAAAAAGTATTTAAATTGCGAATATGAAATTAATTCAACAACAATTTTTCTCAGTGTAGCGAAAAATACACTAAAATTTAACTCAATGTATTGGAGCGAACACAAATTTTTATAAATTTTAGAAAAATCTCGTAGAAGAATTAAAAAATCCTGCAAAAATAACCAAACTTTCACAAAAAATTAAGCTTTTTTTCTCAAAAATAGCAATTTTAGTTAAAAATGCCGATCATAGGGTGCACGGACTGTATGATGCACAAGTAGCGACAAGCAGTTAACAAAAAATTGCGAAATAAATTTCCAAAAGTTGAGAAAAAAAATAAAATATTTTATATATATTAATATATTATAAAATAATCGATAAATATTTTAAAAAAAATCGATATTACCGAATGTAGGGTGTACGAAAATTATTTAGTTGCGACACGCACCGAAATCTCCAAAAAAATTAAAAAAAAATCTATATATATTTTTCCACGAAAATATTTATTAAATTTTATTCTAATATCGTATTTTAAACTTTCGAAACGACCCCTCGTATATTAGCGCTTGTTGTGTCTGAGTGCGTATGTATGTGCCTACCAACGTAAGCAGCGATCGAGCATCAACTAGGCACTGCAGTGATGTGTTGTTGTTGTTATTTTATTTTTTTTTTTTTTTTGTGACCACTCAACGTTAGACGAATAGTCGTTGAAAGGTTGTTGCACTTTTCTCTTATTCTCTTTCGTTTCTATTTTATGTTTTTGGAAACTGCAAGACCAATCACTTATTCTTCTTTTTAGAATAATAACAACACAGATCACTGGAATAATAGTTGATGCGTTTTGTTGGTATTTTTTATTTTATTTTCGCGTAACGAAAAAATAAATATTTACATACATACGTATATTCGTTTATGAATATAAAGCACAAACAACAACACTGCGCGGCACTGTTTGGACGACCGTAGGTTAAGCGATATATTTTTTTTGGTTTTATTTTAAATTTATTTGAAAACTTTGCTCACTGATTTGCACTCTACGTACCTGCTTGTTATTTTTGTTGATGTTTGTGATGAGGAAATGTTGTTGTTTTGTTCTGCCAGTTGACGTAGTCAAACCTTTTGGAGAAAAAGAGCAGAATTCCTTATTATTTCTTGTTGCACTTATCCGGCTCGCAATGGACCAAATGTTTGCGTAGCAAAGGGGAAAAGTGGAAATAGCACCAAAAAATAAAGGGAAAGAAACAAACAATTTTTAGTATTTTGTCCAATAGAAATATTGGATAGTTTTATTTAATTGAATATTGTTGTAGAACAATATTCTTACCTTTTTTAAAATGTTGCTGAGAAAGCTCGTTGTTGTTAATAGGACGTAATCCAAAAAACAAGTAAGTGTCAAACAACAACGAGCAAGCGAAGATGTCGCAAGTGGCGTTTTTAAAAAATGTCACTCGTTATAATTTGACAGTACGACTGTATGATGAATATCACACAGTCGTACACGAAAGTCCGTTACAAATTTGAAAACGGAGTATACATTTAAATGAATATATTCTAGTGTAAACAACGGTAGTGTCAGTTGTAAAATGGGCTCCCTTTTTGACCATCCGAACAATCCTGCAACTAGCTGATGCTGTCGAATCTCAATATCCTTTGTCCTCTGATATTTTGGCGAATTCAGTGTATGTAGATGATGCACTTGTTGGCTGTCATAATGTATCGGTTGCAATAGAGGCAAGGTATCAGCGCATTCCTTCCGATCAACTTCTCAATGATTATTTCCTAGACAATGGGCATTCGTTGTAATCCGATTCCCTTTTCTTCTCCGTTGTAAGATTCCCTGAAACAAGTAGCTATACCAAACGGAATGTTTTGTCACAAATTTCACACTTGTTCGATCAAGCAGGCTGGCTTGCCCTATGCATGCCCAATGCCACGATTATCATGCAAAAAACTAGGTGGAATGTACTGCATAGGATGAGGAAGGCAGTTAAGTGCATTTTGTCTTTCTCTTCGGATCTTGAACATTTCACATCTTGGATAATTTCTCTCTTCCAGGACCGATTCGTGTGGTAGAATATATTCTTTTTCCACAATACCATCCAAAGATTCAAGACAATCTAAAACCCAATTCTTCCACTATATAACCTTCATAGGTACGAAGCATTGAGATGAAATTTATTGCAATGACACGGAAGGCATATTTTCACAGGAATGTATGACCTCAATCCATTTCTTGATATTAGCGGAATCATTACAGTCTGTGATAGACTTACATCATCTCCGGCTCTATCTTATGTAAGCACCATCTAATTTTACTCCAATACAATTGTCAGCACGTTCGATTATTAGGAAGATTTGTCCACCGAATATGGTAACACGGTCGAAACCAACTAGTCATTCGTCTTTTAGAACACAGTATTGGATTATTCGAGTGAAAATACTTACCATTACAAAATATTATAAATAGATGAAAGCCGTGCTGCTCTACAACCATAGATACCAGAAACAAATAATGTCAGTTCTACCTCTTGAAAGATCCGAATTCTCTAGAACATTCACGCATACAGATTCAGATTTCACAGGGTCATTCGACATTAAAAGTCTTCCGGCAGATCATTTAATATAACATAGGGTTATCTGAGTGTATTCAATCTTTTCTCAACAAGGGCTAACCAAGCTACACATACATTCGTAGCTGAAATATAAACCTACTCCTTTTACTTTTTTTCTCTTGACCTTTTAAGCTATTCGCTCATTACATTTTAAATAAATAATAGACTTTAAATTTGGCATTTCATGATTTAGTATTGCTGTTTGATGCGTCACATGGCTCAAAAATAAATTTGTTGTGTTATCTGCAGGCACAAGTGATTTTCAAATGCTGGCTTCCTTAAGCTCAAAATTAAAGAACTTAGTTTTACTTTTAGGAAGATCATCTGATTTACTAACGTTCGGTATTAATAGGGTTCACACGAAATGATATATTATCAACTTATGACTGACAGGATTGTTTGTATTAAAATATATGTTGTTTAAATACACTTCACACTAACCCTAAAAAATAATTTTTACTTTAGGAACATTATTTCGGTAGTTTTACAATTCTTTACCGCCTTAATTTTAATTTAATTTTTTTAAATATTCTTATGACAATAACGACTTAACTTGGACGGCGGTTGATGTTTCTTTCTCCTCGATAATCTTAACAGAACGAAGTCGCCATGAAATTGAATCAGTTCCCAAGTTTTTTCTTTAATTCTTTGAATTTTTGATTTTTTCTAAATGTTCCCTAGTTAAGACGAAAATCTGAATCTTTGTTTCATATCGGTACAATAGTCTTCTATATGTATTGAATTTTATTTCTTTCTTTATCATTTAATAGGTATGGCAGTGTACTGAAAATTAACTCATATGGTGTGTAGTTTGTGTCGACATGTGGTGAAGTATTGTACGCAAATGTAAAATATGGTATCCAAGCAACCCATTAATCGAATTTGGCAAATTGAGAAGGAACTCATTATGTACTCTATGTCTTCTTTCTACGCAACCCAACGCCTCGTGATGATACGGAGTACTAAATATTAGCTACACTTGCAACAAGGGCGTAACTGATTCAAATACTCATTTCAATTATCTGATTTAAATATTTTCCACAGGACAAGCTACCAGAAATTTAGTGAGTTCACATTATACAGGTTATACATATATGAAAATATTTGATACTTTTCTTTAGTGTGTCTTTTTTATCTATTTATTTTGCACTTTGTTCACAGCATATTTCCTTATCATTTTGGACATGGTCCTCCAAATATATCGATTTTTCGGTTTTAACGTAGTTTCCTGATGCCTACATGACGTCAGTGTATTGAATCGTGAAATTCTGATATTAGGTTAAATTGTGTTTCTTTGCAAGAAATCCTGTGAGAATATTTATATAAAAATACATGGTGAGATGAAAAAACTTCAACCAAATTCAGACAGCTGTCATTTCTAATTCACTCGTCCGACAGCTGTTAAAATTATTCCAGTGATAGCTCATTATATTGTTTACAAGCGCACAGATGCATTTTGGTGAGAATTTTTCAGAAAAAAAAAAATTATTCATGATGGAATTCAAGCGTCATAGTATGATTTCTTTATATTTGTCTGGAAAACAACAAGTGCCTTTCGTTAGAGAATTGCAGCATTTAAATGTGAATAAATCTTTTGTGAATAAATAAATCCACGTAGCAGTGGCCGAAAAATGGCTCAAGAGTTGATCATATTGCAGTATTCTATTCGGCAAATATTGAAAAATGTGTTGGCTTAAGGCTGTTGAAATTCTAAAAAATTCAAGAACTTACACCGCAACAGAAAGAAAGTAGACTCAAAGGGTCATGCCAAAGGGCAAGTCTAAACCAATTCGGGAAAGTCTAAACTTATTGACGCTATTTCCGTCATTTTTTACTTTCATTCAATAACATTTAAAAAAAATATGAATTATAGAGTTTGACTTTGTTGTTGCTTTTTTATCTCACCTATTTATAAATACAAAGCACATAATGTTTACTAATATATTATTATATTATTTATTATTAATATCTATATTTACTAGTATTTTCGCTTATTTTTAATTCAATTATTTTAATAACAAATTGTTCCATATTGATTTCATATAAAATATTACGATGTTAAATACTCTTAATACCTACCGCTACAAAAGAAATGTAAACAAATTTTCGTTCTATTCTATCATATTCCATTAATCTTACCTAATAAAAAATTTCCCCTGCCCAGCTTCCTTGATTTTTAATAGCTAATTTTAATAGCAGGGCTTGTTGTGTAGGCTATTGAATGGTTCGCTCTATGATAAAATATGGTATCCAAGCAACCCATTCATCGAATTTGGCAAAGTTGGGTAGGAACACATTATGTACTCTATGACTTCGTTCCACGCAACCCAACGCCTCGTGATGATACGTAGTACTAAATATTAGCTAGACTCGCAACAAAAGTGTAACTGATTCAACAACTCAGTCCCATTATCTGATTTAAATATTTCCTAATGTACGTAAATGAAAATAAAACTCTCTACTAACGTCGTTGCAACTGTTATTGCATACCTTGTTTCAAAGGGACAAACTACCAGTAATTTTATGAGTTCACATTGTATAATTAATACGTATCTGAAAATATTTGATACTTTTCTTAGTGTGTCTATTATGTTTATTTATTTTGCACTTGGACAGTTCACAGAATATTTCCTTATCATTTTGGACATGTTCCTCCAAATATATCGATTTTTCAGTTTTAAAGTATTTTTCCTGATGCCTACATGATGTCAGTGTGTTGAATCGTGAAATTCTGATGTTAGGTTAATTGTGTTTCTTTGCAAGTAATTCTTTGAAGATCATTATACAATAGTATAGGGTGAGATGAAAAAACTGCTACCAAATTCACGCAGCTGCCATTTCTAAGTCACTAGTCCGACAGATGTTAAAATTATTCCAAGGACAGCTCATTATATTGTTTAGAAGCGTACAAAAGCATTTTGTACGTGGCTATTTTCAAGTGGCTATCGTTAGATATACCGTGATACTGGTAGCGTAGCCCGACGTCAAGGAAGTGGACGGAAGAAAACTGCAACATCAACAGAAATGGGTCGAAAAGTAAAGAAGCGACTTGATCGAAACTCGGCTCGTGAGTTGAACATGAACAAAAATGGCTCGTGAGTTGAACATATCGCACTATTCCATTCGGCAAATATTGAAAAATGAGCCGGGGTAAAGCCATTGAAATTCCAAAAAGTTCAAGATCTTACACCGCAACAGAAAGGAAATAGACCCAGAAGAGTTAAAGAGTTGCTTCGCTTGGCCGAAAGTGGTGAACTGCCGAATGTGGCTTTCTCTAATGAGAAAACATTCGTTGTCCAGCAGTTAGTAAACAAACAAAATGATCGTGTTTACCTGCCAAAGAGGTCAGCTGAAAATATGCATTTTTGGTTGGCCACCAGAACTTAAGTGCCGGCCATGGTGATGGTGTGGAAATGTGTAAATGCCGAATATTATCGCGAAAATATTCTGATTGTGTATTAAAACCTTGGTCACGCAAATATTTTGGCCGCAGACCTTGGACATTCCAGCAGGACTCAGCACCATTGCACTCAGCACGCGCTACCCAAGATTGCCGGACACACCACCATCAGTTCAAGCAAGCGCTTCGC